ATCTATTTCACTATCTCCTGTTCATATCGATTAATAATATACATCACAGAATAATCTTAAAGTAGATAATTATTTTTAAATAGAATCTCACCCTTGAATAAGACCTTTTTATTAGCCATCTCGGCAAATATACATCCTATACTCCACATATCAACGGCAAAAGAATAAGTTGGACTACCAAGCATAAGTTCTGGGGCTCTATACCATAGAGTAATTACCTAAAATAAAACATCATTTCGTGTATAAAGAATCAAAAATTATCAAATTAGATTTAAAAAGATTTTAAACTAAATGATACCTCATGTGTATAAGGTCTCAAAGGAATACCAACGGCTCTGGCCAACCCAAAATCTGCTAGTTTAAGATTTTCTTCTTGATCAATTAATAGATTTTGAGGTTTTAAATCCCTATGAAAGATTCGTCGTTTATGTAAGAATGTAGTACCATCAAGAAGTTGGTACATGAGTTTCTATTTTTTTTCGGTTTTAAAAAGAATGAAATCCGATTTATTGTATCTTCAATGATAGCCTATAACAAAGTAATCAAGATGGATGCATAAAAAAAAAATACCAGAATCTTTTTATGCTCCAATCCTTCATTAAAAGAATGAATATATCTTTTCAAATCCATTGTAAGGAACTCGAAAACAAGGAACAGCTTATTTTCTTGATTTACAATGTCAAGTAGTCTAACCATACATTAGAATATGTATTAAATATGTTATATTTTTGTTATGCGTTTTATATAATAAACGTACTTTACAATATTTTCATGTTTCGTGCATTCCTTTAGCAAAGAAATTTCTCGAAGTGAAGTGGGTGGAATTCCTTCTTTGTCTCCGATAGATGGTGAATCTAGACGTACTTGCTTGAGTGCCACGATTCTTCCTGTCTTTTTATCTTTAGCTCTATAAACTACACCATACGTCCCTTGTTGGTTTTTTTTTTTAAACAAAAAAAAAATATCATAAAATAATAATAAATAATAACTTCGATTAATAATTATATTAGAATCGGCTTTATAAGAAGTAAAAAAAACAAAAGCGCCCATCATAAAAAAATTTGTATATTTTGTTGCCAAACTTAAATTCCATACTAATAGAAATGCAAAATTTTATTATTCTATAATATTTAAATACATATTATATATATCTATTATATGTACACATCTATATATACTAATTTTTTTTTTAAATTAATACCTTCTCCAACCTTCTCAAGTTTT